GGAACTGAAGCAGCTGTCTTGATTTTAGGCAATGAAAATGAAATAAAAGCAACAAAATGTTGGAATTTTGATGAAGAGTTGCTTTCAGGAAAAGAAAATCAACTACTTGCAGCTTTGTGTTTGTGAGAGAAACACAGTTCACCACTTGCTTTTGCTTCAAGGTCTCACATAGGTCTATAGGAAAAAAGCATTTCTCATGGATTAGTGAGATAATGAATTAATACACCACTTAGTAGGAAATTATACACAGCAACCTCATCGCTCCAGTTCACATGCAGATAATGAGTGGAAAGGGCGCACTGTGGCCCTCTGCAATTCTGTTATCAGAAGTCAGCGTCCTTCCTGACACATGGTTCTGGAACTGCCATGGGGAGGGAATGAAGGATCCCACAGTAGGAGTGTGTTCAGGGAGCCGCGTGTGAGGATCTGAAAGGACAGTGGGAGTTTGAATGGGGTCCCAGATTCAAGCTACTTTAGCTCAGACAGGACAGATATTTTTCAAGTGATCATCAGGAGCAAGAATGATGTGCCATCTGGGAAATTTCTAGGCAATGCGGGTGACCTGGGAGCAGCTTAGCACATTCACTCTCTGGTGGCTTGTAGGATGACAGGGACGAGTGATGCCAGGTATGAGAGACGGGGGCTAAGTTCTGCTACTCAGTCCCCCACTAAGGTACCTGGGGTGAAGACACTGAGGGAAGGGCTCCTAGTCCCTTCTCTCTACCTGGTACCCACCACTCCACCAGTCAGGGTCTGGTGCTTCTGCCTGGAGCTCTAGTCCTAAGTCCCACGCCTTGAATTCCATATGTGCGGCTGACCGTACTGTCCTATTGCCCAATGACTGGCCCAGAAGTTGTGGTGGGACCTTGACCAAAAAGGAAAGGGGCTGCCCAGGTGATCAATACTTTCAAGGTCGCATAAAGGGAAGAAAGAACATGACCTGGTAGATTCAGACAAAAATAAATACCCTGACCACCCAAGGAGACTGACTAGGGATCAGAGGCCAAATCTTGGAAAATCCTTGGCCACAAAATTCCTGGCCTGGATGGAGCAGCCCGCAGGGTGTCAGTTCTTCCTGCTCATTTTGGAGGTGCTGCTGAACCCCTACTTGGCTGGCTCAGGCATCTGAGAGGGTGGCAAGGTCTCCATCCTTTTGGTGGCTCAGAGGCTCCAGGTTGAAGTACTACAGACTTTATTTTTTTAATTATAATTTTTATTCATTTTAATGAGAAAAAAGATAAAATAACAATGAAACACTTTCAAAACAGGTTAGTAGGACATTTACAATAATTAATACATTGCATATTGTTTCCTTCATAGTAATTATTCAGAAGTCAAGATACAGACACGATGTCTAAACAATATTAGTAAAAACTTTTATTCTCAGTGAACTAAGAGAAGTAGCTGTATATCTATCCTAACTTTCATATATATATATATATATATATATATATATATATATATATATTCCTCTTCTTCCTGTTTTTCACAACAAAACTGTCCTTTATTTACACTTTTGTGAAGTTAGTCGTGCATGGCCCTATGTTGCCTAGCAAATGAGTATAAAAACAAGGTATAAAAAGTAAAGCCATATTAATATGCTGAGCTGCAAAAGGGCTCATGTCAACAACTTCTGACATTGCCAGTCACGCAGATAACCCACTACTATTATGGACTATTCGACTATATTGGATTGCTTTGCTGAATTCAGGCACCTACAATAAATGAATGGCAATGGAATACCCATCTCTGGCAAAAGTGAACAAAAAAGGGGGATATAAAAAAGGATCATTTTGTAGTGAAAAAAATATATATCTGTGCATACAAAATAGCATAGATATACAGCTACTTTCTCTTAGTTCAATGAGAAGAAAGTTTACAACTAATAGTCTTTGGATAAGATGTCATGTCTGCATCTTGTACAGTGAATAACCACTAAGCCAACAATATGCAGTGTATTTATTATTGAAACTGTCCTACTAATATGTTTTGAAATTGTCTCATTGCTACTTGTGTCTCAATAAATGTATTAAAAATTTAAAAACTAAAATAAAACTAATGAAGAATTTTTACAAACCCAAAATGGCCAGTCCCAGTAACATTATCATCAGCTGCACTCAGGGAGATCCAGGAATCCGTCCTGCACCCACATCTCAGCAGTCTGAGTGCCAGAGCCAGACTGATGAGAAGCATTTTCTCGGGGGTAGCTTCTGTTTTGTCTCTGTTGCAGGTCGGAGAGGGCCACAGGATCAAGGCTGGTGGTGCGTTTTTGTCTCACTTCCCCATGTGCCTGTGTCACTGTGAGCCTTTTCACTACTAACCCACACCTCACAGTAGTAGTCAGCCTCGTCCTCAGCCTGGGCACCAGAGATGGTCAGGGTGGCCGTGTTGCCTGAGTTGGCACCAGAGAATCGGTCAGGAATCCCAGAAGGCCGCTTGCTATCTTCATAGATGACCAGCACTGGAGCCTGGCTGGACTTCTGCTGGAACCATTGCACATATTTACTTCCAATGTCGTTTCCCTCACAGGTCATCCTGGCTGTCTGACCTGGAGTCACCGACACTGAGGATGGCTGTGTCAGCACGTAGGAGGCCACGGAGCCTGCAGGGAGAGAGAAGCAGATGTGGGACTGAGGATGGGAGCTCCTTCCCTCAGACACTCAGCCCTGCTGGAGCTGGGTGAGCCCGGGGCCGGGTGGGAGCATGAGGGTCCTGGGGCAGCACCTGTGCAGTGAGCAAGGAGGCCAAGGAAAAGCATGGTCCAGGCCATGCTGAAGGTGCCCGGATGCTCCTTCCTGAGTTGAACGCTGGGGTGGCTTCCTCTAGGCCTCTCTTATGTCCTTGCTGGAGGAAGCTGCCCATTATGTAAATCAGCCAAGCTCAGGGCAGGTGCTGGAGGAGATTTCTGGGGTCCAGAGCAAGACTCAGGCTCAGGTACTCAGAGAGAGTTGGGGTGGCCCTAGAGACCCAGTGGGTGTCTGGGAGTTGTTTCTTCACATGTCAGTGCACATGCAGATCCTGGACATCAGCCCTGTACCTGTCCTGGTAATACTTCTCAGCTTTCTGGTCCTGCAGAGATCAGAAATGCAGTTCGTGTTTCCCAAGCTGCTTGAACTCCTGCCTGGGTGTGGTCCTGTCCTGGTCCTGTTTAGCAGGTGGCCTGGAAGACACACATCCAACTTTCACCAAGTCCAGGCCTTTCCTGTGTTTAATCCTGACCATCAAGCAGGTAGCTTGGGCCTGAGTCAGTGTGAGTATTCATTCCACAGTTGCTTTGTCGCAGAGTCCAGATGTCAGCTGAGTCCTAGCTCCATTTTAAGGTTTAATCATGGAGCCCAGTATAGTGATTCTCCTAAACCTACTTTATGAATGACAGCAAGACAGGTGCAGGTATTGTCCACATCTCAGGACTTCTTATTGGAAAGATAATAAAAGTCTTAAATTGAGGCAGGCATGTGATGCATGCCTGTGATCTCAGAGCCCTGGCTGATGAGGTAAGAGTAGCACAAGTTGAAGCCCAGATAGGCAACATTGCAACTTAGAAATCCTGTCTCAAAAAAATTAGAATAGAAGAATTAAAAAAGCACTGCATTTCAGTGTGAACCTCATGGATTAAATCCAAAATACTGAAAATAAATTTCCAACAAGTACTATCAGTTTCTGTATTTCATTGTCTTGGGGTAGGTTCTGGGTGTTAAGTCTTCGTATACCCGGTATGTGCAGAAACCCAAGGTCAGGTCCTGTGTTGATGGAGATGTTTAAAAGAAAGTCCCAGTGGAGTAAAAACTCCAGGAAGCCTTCATACA